GGCAGTCTAAAATTAACCAAGGAATTTCAAAATTTAATAACTCCTTCAGTTTTTAATTTTAATTCAGACTATTACTGTATTATGTAAAATAGATATGGGAAATGTTTTACGAAGAAAGCAGTTTCAGTACCTTTTAAGTGAACTTCTCATGTGAGCCAAAATTATTCATTTTTACATATCCGGAAGTGTAAGCCGATATTTTAAAGGGTTAAATTTAAATCCCTTTATTAAGACCCTTAGTGGTTGCATGAAACAAAAACAAAAAACAAAAAACAACAGGTGTGATGAAAAGCACTGAGATATCTTTTTCATTCCACTAGTAAGTAGAAAAAATCATTTTATTTAAATGTTTGATGTTAAATGGCTGGGAATAATCCCATAGCACTTAAACTAGGTACCTCCATGAGATCGCTAAAAAAATGAGCATAGCATGATGAAAAAGACGAAAGCAAATATTTATCGTCTAAATGTTTATGTTATTATTAAGAGGAAAGACTAAATTTTTTTTTTTAATAATTTTTTTAAATTTTTCCTTCTTTTTAGAACATTATAAATTTTGATTAAAAAAAACTTTGTTTCCCTTTGTATCACCGGAACTTGTAAAATAACATAGACAATTTTTAGCGCGTTTTTTTTTTTTTTGTATGACACACATTAATTTCGAAAATCTTGCAAAAATAAAAATAATTGTCGGATGTTAATGAAAATTTCAGAAACCATTCACAGATGATCGAAATTATTATAAATATGTTTTTTTTTTTTTATTAAAGTCAAGGCAAAAATATATTTTTTTATATTTATTAACGTTTATGAAAACGCTAGAAATTCGATCGAATCTAGTTTACTGATTACAACGGTTAAAAGCACAAGGCGTTGAGGAATGCAAATCTTGTTTTTTTTTTGTTTTTAATTGGACCCCACCTACCTGAAAATCAGCTCTGAATTGTAATATAAAACTCAATAAAACAAAGATATTATTTAATTTCAAATGCTTTTATTTGCTTTTAGTTGTTTTTATGAATATGGACAATATTTTCTGAAAGCAAAAAAAAAAATTTGATGAAAAATGAATTTTTAATACAATTCTTTGTTATTTCTTTAATTATAATAGATTTTTACATCTAAGTTGTTAAAATATTATAAAATTAGTTAAAAGCCGCATCACGTTTCCTAAGTGTCATTATGAGATAGATCTTTTTTTTAGCGCGTTGTAAATTGTATCGTTTTGACTAATCGGAAGATCTGCAGTAATTAAGAAATGTAATTTTGTGTTTATAATCGGGCTGTAATTATAAAGTACGGAAGACCAACCAGAATACAATTAAGTTGTGTTATTTGAGTTAAGCATTGTTCAATGCTGTTAAGGCTTTACTTTTGCGAAACACGTCTGGAGAAGTTAATTTGCTTTTTCAATTTCAACTGAGAAGTGTACCTACAAGTATCAGTATCATCTTAGGAAATTTATATGATCTTATTTTTATATTAATCTCAGTTACGACATTTTTCCATAAATGAAATATCAAAATTAATAATAAAATGAATGGAAATACAAATGACACATTAAAATGTAATAAATGTACATAAAATTATAGTATTTTATGTACACTTCTGATAAAATTTCATAAGAAAGGTACCTATAAATTAATTAGATATCTTTCTTATGAAATATAAAATTTAATCTCACTCTTAACAGTCTTATTTTAATTTCTTTATATTTCCCATAACGCATTGTAAACGTAAAGGTGAAAGCTAAGTACAAAAAAAAAAAAAAAAAATTAGAGCGCTGAAAGTTTTCATTAAAAATAACGAGGTAAATAATTTGTTCACTTAAATCTAAATAACTTCACTTTTATCCTTCCGTAGAACAAATTATGATCCCGTAATCCGTCAATACGTTATTCAACGCCTGTCAAGTGACGTGAAAGGTTATGACATGCTTTGTTTTATTTTCAAATTACATCTTTTCGGCGCAGAAGCTAAGTCAACCTTGGTTCAAAATATTTTAAATAAACATTATAATTTCTGATTTTCTTAAAATAATTTTTGAAAAATGATAATTGATTTTAAAAGAATTTCAAACTGAGATTTTCATTTTTTTTTATAAAATGGAAAAAATGGTTGCCATGATTGATTATATGTCAGTTTTGCTGACTCAAAAAAAAAACAAAAAAAAAAAAACAAGATTTTTAACGAAAATTTCGGACGTGCTAGGAACGATTAAAAAATGTAAAAAAATACCCCCCAAATACTTTGATCTTATCTCCTTATAATAACATGAACATTTAGACGATAAAATTGTTTTCTTCAAGTTTGGCTTCTTTTTCATCATGCAATGCTCTTTTTTAGCGATCTCATAGAGGTACCTAACTTAAATCTATTACGAGTACAATTCAAGTACTATTCATTTATGTCTATATCTAACTGTTGTTCATATTGTAAATAAAGCTTATCTTTCTTATTTCTATAAACATCAAGCGTTTTGTCGTTTATTTCCTTAGCTAATTTTGTTTAAATTGTTAACATTTTAATCGGACTTGTTGCCACTTGCTCTCAAATGGAATGAATTTCTCGATAATAAACTTTCAAGTTGCCACCCTTTTTTTTTGGTTTCTAATATTATTGGCCCATAAACGTTTGCAATAGCAGACGTCAACTTCCATTTTTCCGAAATATATTTACAAAAAAGGTCTATTTTGAGGTCTGGTCATACGCACACGAAGGATCCCCACATTAAAAAAAAAAGCCTTGTACCACCTTAAGATCGAGTGGGTGTTTTCTTAAATAAAGTTTCTCCTTGTATATGGCACTCTAAAATTCACCAAGGAATTTCAAAATTTAATAACTCCTTTAATTTTTAATTTTAATTCAGACTATCACTGTATTATGTAGAGTAGATATGGTAGATAAATGTACACTAGTTAAGACAGATTACAACTTTTAAATGGCGCCCATTTTCAACGTTGCACAAGAAGAGACCCCACATTAACATCTTCTCTTGACTAGTATTTCCAAGATTATCAACCTTCCTGGAGCCGAGCCACAAGTTTAAAGATGCTCTGTTTACGAGCAGCGGCGGGGGCCTTTCTGTTCTAAGGTATTTTCCATCACAGACCTCAGTGTTTCAGGCTCTAATGCTCGGAATTCTGTCTGAATGTTGTCATTCAGCTGTTGAAGAGTCTGAGGCTGGTTGGCATAAAAGTTTTCTTTGGGACAACCCCATAGGAAGAAATCGGGTTTTGTTTGATCCGGGATAAAGTAGTGGTCTGGTTATATTTAAGCGTGAGAAATTATTCTTTTTTCCAAAAATTGCATGAGAAACTAGAATGTGAACCTTGCCGCTTGAGCTGTCACTCCTTCAGCTTGTACAGAAACAGATTTGAATTGCATTGCTGTCTGAGAGATCACAACCTGTCAAGATAGCCAGCGAGTTGATGCTCCAAGATCTTCGGTACTCTTCATTACTCTTCTTAACCGAACGTGATACGCGATATGCTCATTGAGTATGAATTATTGATCCTTGTTTTGGGCAGAAAAAAGCACGACTTGTCTTCGTTGTTCAGTCGTGTATTTTTACATGATTAAAATCCCTTTTATAAAATACATGAAAGCAAAGCAAAAACAAAGCAAGAATATTATATTGAGGAAATTGAACATAGAATGCACTGAGCTAGAGGTAGTTTCACACAATACCGCAAATTGCTACAAAACCAAAAATATCAGACTGAAAACAAGAGTCATCTTCTTAAATGACCTCGTCAGATCGAGGCTTTAATACAGATGTCGATCAGGGAGCCAAGCCCGTTTAGAAATATCTGAACTGTCAGCTGTATACAACCGATTTCTAAAAACAATAGTTAAAAATGAAACCTGTAGGTGCTAGCGAGGACCATAATCTTTTCAAAACTTGTGTACTGACGCTACATAATCACAAACCAAGATTTGTGCCAAATAGCAGAAAACACATCACCTGTGGACTTTCAACAGCAGCAACAGTTAAAATGGATAGCATATATAATTCGAAGAGAAAATAATGGCATAATGAAGATTTTGACGTTCACACTACTTCAAAAAAGTTAGGAAGGTAACCCCCATCAGTAGTGGGAAGAGCGATAACAGTTAGTTGACCTGAAAAATCTATTTTCCTGAAAAATTGTTTTAAAACTGTTTTTTTTAAATTTCAACCGACAGCAGTAATGGCCATCCGGTCAATGAATGCCGAATGTTTCCTTATAAGGAAACGGCTAAATTTACCATTAGCATTAGAGATGAGGAGAACAGATACAACACTTTGATCCCAACCCGATGACTAAAGAGTGAAAAAAAGCGTAACCAGATTAGCAATGTCTGTTCGGTCAATGAATGCCGAATGTTTCCTCATAAGGAAACAGCTAATATTGCCTTTAGCATTAGAGATGAGAACAGATACTACACATTGATCCCAGCCCGATGACTAAAGAGTAAAACAAAAAAGAAAAGAAGCGTAACTAGATTAGCATTGTCTGTTCGGGCAATGACTGCCGAATGTTTCCATATAAGGAAACAGTTAATATTACCATTAGCATTAGGGATGAGGAAAACAGATACTACACATTGATTCCAACCCGATGACTAAAGAGTGAACAAAAAAGCGTAACTAGATCAGCACTGTCTGTTCGGTCAATGAATGCCGAATGTTTCATTTTATGTAAACGGCTAATATTACCATTAGAATTAGAGATGAGGAGAACAGATACTACACATTTATCCCAGCCCGATGACTGAAGAGTAAAAAAGAAAAAGAAAAGCGTAACTAGATTAGCACTGTCTGTTCAATCAATCAATGCCGAATGTTTCCTTATAAGGAAACGGCTAATATTACCATTAGAATTAATCTTTCAGACCCTTTGGTAACTTTTGGGCCACATTTTATTTCCCAACAGCTACCTAACTTTCAGTAATAATTTACTATCTTCATTCAAACGTGATGACGAGTGTGGGTTAACGGAAAGGCTACAGAATCGATGAAGATGGATATTTTTTCCGGAGCAAATACAAATTTTCTTGCGTTGTTTCTCTTGATAGGTGAGGTTTCATTTTGGTAAGTCAATTACATCACAAAGAACGCAGTGACTTCCACACTGTTTTTTTTTCTTCATTTTTTTTTTATCGATATCAGTAAGGTATTTGTAGCAGAAGAGTGTAACCTATTAACGTGGTAAACCCAAGAATTCACAACGAGAGTAAGAAATTTTCATTAACGTCGACATATTTTCACCTTATTTTTTTTTCTGCAAAGTGTATAGTCCAAATCCTCTTTTTACTTCATCTCTCTCTCTCTCTCTCTTTCTCTCTTCGGACTCTCTCTCTCTTTCTTTTGTTTCTTTTCAAAAGATAGGTAATTTGTTTAAAGGTTTTTACCGACAATGGAGAGAAGCCAATTCCGATCTATGGTGCACGTAAAGAGTGTTCTTCACGCAAAGAATATATCAGTAACTGCGAGTTGTGTAAAGGGTGTCGGGGCCATGCGCGTCTCTGGAGAATCTATTTTCCTTGATTTCTCGCGAACTTCATCAGACTGTTCTTTGAACCGCCCGCGGGAAATTACCGACGTCCCGAAGTGCTTGTGATAATCGCGTCGGTAGTTTCAGCTCGCTTTGCCGTCAGTTCTTCAAATTCCAGGATCGGAAGAGAGATAGAGAAGATGAAAAGAAGAAGCCCGATCCCCCAGTGCAAAGATGGCTGTCTTGATTGGTCGCTACTTTTTATGAGCGAAAACAGCACCTGGTTGGATGTTCAATGGCCAGCTGCGCATCCACCTAGTGCTTCCGGTCAATAGCTGAATCGTCTTTCCGCCAATAATAATAATAATAATAATAATGGTATTTGGTGTAATTCCATTCTCTCTCTCAATTACTTTCTTTCTTTCTTTCTTTCTTTCTTTTTACTTTATATTTCTTTCTCTCTATGTCTTTCACTTTTCTTAACGTAATTCTTTTTCTTTCTACTTTCTTTCTTTTCTTTTCTTTCCTTGTTCTTTATTCTTTTTCATTTGACCTTGTTTTCATATATATTCTTTCTGTCTTTCTTTCCTTTACTTTTTGCTTTCTTTTTTCCTTTCCTTTTTGCCTTTTCCCTTTCTACTTATTTCATATTGCATTTCTAGTTTTCTTTTGGCTTCTTTCTTTCTTTAGCTGATTTCTGTCTCTTTTTCGCTTTTCTTTCTTTCTTTAGCTGATTTCTGTCTCTTTTCTTTCTTTCTTTTTTCTTTCTTTTTTCTTTCTTTCTTTCTTTCGTTGATTTCTGTCTCTTTTCTGCTTTTCTTTCTTTCTTTCTTTCTTTCTTTCTTTCTTTCTTTCTTTCTTTCATTCTTTAGCTGATTTCTGTCTCTTATCTTTCTTTCTTTCTTTCTTTCTTTCTTTCTTTCTTTTCTTTCTTTCTTTCTTTAACTGTTGTCTATTTTTTTAATCTCTTTACCTAATTCCACTTTTCCCTTTTCTTTTTTCCACTTTTTCTATTATTTTTCTTTCTTTCTTTCTTTCTTTCTTTCTTTCTTTCTTTCTACTTTTGTTATCTTACTTCTTTTTTTTCTTTACGTGATTTCCCTATCTTCTCTTTCTTTCTTCGTACTTTTTTCTTTTCTATCTTTCTACTTATTTCTCTTTGTGATTTTCTTTTGATTTCTTTCTTTCTCCTTTTCTTTCTTTTTTCTTTCTTCTTTTTTTCATTTGAATTTATTTTTCTTTCTAATATTCTTCTTTCTTTCTTTTTACTTTCTTCGTACGTCTTTCCTTTGCATTTTACTTAGTTTTTATCTTTCTTTCTTTCTTTATTTCTTTCTTTCTTTCTTTCTTTCTTTCTTTCATGTTCTGCTTTCCTTATTTATTCTAGTTCTTTCTCGTAGAGATTTCTTTTTTTCTTTCTTTTTTGTTTTTTCTATCTTTCTTTCTTTCTCCTCCCAATACCCATTCTTTCTTTCTTTCTTTCTTTCTTTCTTTCTTTCTTTCTTTCTTTCTTTCTTTATTCTTCATGTTTCTATTTCCAACCCTGCAACCCTTTTCCCCAAATACAAAACATTCCAAGCTTATCGCTACTCTATCGCTATTTCCATGATAAATGTCCAAACCAGCTATTTTCCGCCAGTTCATGCCTTCACAGCAAGCAGCCACCATGGGATATAAACAGGTTTGAATCATCCTCATTCTTTTTGCATTCCACTGATAAGAAGGATGTCCCTCCCCCCCAAAAACAAGCCTCTTCCAGAGAATCGCTACTTGTGGAAAAGACTCCTGAGAGGGTGCTTCCCTGATCAAAACTATTGACTTCTTCAATAAAACGTTAACTATCCTACATATCCTCATAATATGCACCTATTATTCTTTCTTTGTACGCCCTTACAACATGCTCATTTAGCTACCCTCTACATTGAGTAGCTCTTGAGCCTTGTATTCGGTGAACATTTAATAAAACATTTTTTAATTCGTTCTTTTTTCTTTCTTTGTACTTGACATTTCCAGTTCTTTCTCTTTTTTTCCACTTCTTTCTTTTGTTTTTACTTCTTTTTTTGTTTTTTGTAATTTTCTAATTCTTTTTTTCTTTCTTTCTTTCTTTCTTTCTTTCTTTCTCTCTTTCTAATTCTTTCTAATTTTTTTCTCTTTCTAATTCTTTCTTTTTTTCTATTTTTGTCATTTAACTTCTTACTTTCTTTACCTGATTTTCCTATCTTCTTCTCTTTCTCTTTTTCCACGTATTTCTTTCTTTTTTCCTTCTTTCTTTCTTTTTCTTTGTATTTTTCTTTCTAATTCTTTTCTCTGTTTACTTCTTTCTTTCCTTTCTTTCTTTCGTTTCTTTCTTTCTTTCTTTCTTTCTTTCTTTCTTTCTTTAAATGTCTGTCTTTCGTTTATTTCTTTACCTGATTTCCCTCTCTTTTCTCTTTTCCTTTTTTCCACTTCTTTCTTTTCCATTTTATTTGTTTCTTTCCTTTCTTTCTTTCGTTTCTTTCTTTCTTTCTTTCTTTCTTTCTTTCTTTCTTTAAATGTCTGTCTTTCGTTTATTTCTTTACCTGATTTCCCTCTCTTTTCTCTTTTCCTTTTTTCCACTTCTTTCTTTTCCATTTTATTTGTTTCTTTCTTTCTTTCTTTCTTTCTTTCTTTCTTTCTTTCTTTCTTTCTTTCGTTCCTTCTAATTCTTTCTTCCTTTTTAATTCTTTTCTCTTTCTAATTCTTTCTCCGTTTCTTTCTAATTCTTTTCTAATTCTTTCTTTCTATTTTTCTCTTTCTAATTCTTTCTTTCTTTCTTTAAATTGGACTGATGAAGATGTCTGTCCATAAAACTATGCAGTCTGACAAAATATGGCCATCGGGCGCCAGAATAATAAGTAATCGAGAATGAAAACAGAAGAAAGCAAGAAAAACCAAAAAAAACCCCAAAAGGATCCAAGAATCAAAGAAAAAAAAGCAACGAATTAAAAGGAGTGTTTACCCGATGGTTAAGAGAGTTGTGTTTTTCTTTCCGTGCCAATAACTGTTGTTCGACAAAACCCAAGATAATCATCGACTGCTTTCAATGTTGGCAGACGATGAGGATTAGTCAGACTTCTGACCAATAAGCCATACCATTTTGGTATGTAAACTATAGTAAACGGATTACTTCGAACTGTTTAATGGTTAGTAAGCTTTCATCACTACACAAATTATAACCGAGTAGCAAGTTCGATCCTCACCAGGTGCCCCGTACATTCGACCTTCTGCCATATCTAATCTAGACTTAGTAAATAACTATAACTGAGCTCCATACTTTTGGCCTTGTGTCAAATTTAAGCTACGCTTAGTAAATCACTATGACTGAGTAGTGAGTTTGATTCTCACTGAGAACTCCATAATTTCGGCCTTGTGCCACATCAAAGCTACACTTAGTAAATAGCTATAACCACGTAGTGAATTCGATCCTCACTAGGATCTCCATACTTTCGGTTTGTGTCACATCTACGCTACGCTTATTAAATCGCTATGCCTGAGTAATGTATTCGATCCTCAATGGGAACTCCATACATTCGGCCTTGTGCCACATCTAAGCTACGCTTAGTAAATAGCTATAACTGCGTAGTGAGTTCGATTCTCACTGGGAGCTCCATACATTCGGCTTTGTGCCACATATAAGCTACGGTTAGTAAAGAGCTATGGCTGAGTACGATCCTCACTGGGAGCTCCATAACTTCGGCCTTGTGTCACATCTAATCTACGCTTAGTAGATATCTATAAATGACTGGGAGATACATACTTTTGGTCTTGTACCGCAACTAAGATTTTTTTAATTTTCCGACTACAAGACACGATAGCCACTCAGGGTAGAGGCTTATTGTTGAAAAGAAGAAGGAGTCGTTGGTATGAGTGAAAGAAGAGGTCGAAGGAAGTGTCGATTATGAGAAAGGTAGATAACCATTGACCATTGGCATAAAGGGATTAAGATTGTAGTGTTTAGGGAAGCATCCACTTGGGAGTCGATTCCATAGTTAGTCTTAGATATAACTCGATTTTGCTTGTTACTACAAATATTAAATTGTGTTATATCTTGATAAGAAGTAGAAAAATCAGGCGTGGCTGACCACATATGGAGAGAGAAGGGAGATCACCGCCCCCTGTGGGATCATGTTGAGATCATAGACAGGGAACACCATTGGAAAATTCGTAAACTTAAGGAATCAGCACATATGCTAGGCCACAAAAATCTCCTGAGCCGACCAAGCATAGAAATGAATACAATATGGGGACCAGTAATAAGGAGTGCCAAAGAAAAGCGATAATAACAACACAAACTGCAATATGAGTTCTGGTAAAAAATGGTTGCTGAAGGCATTGGGTTTATAATACCCAGAAATTCATGCACAGATATCCTCAAGGACACATGGCACAGTGTATAAAGGCGTTAGTTAGATCCAGTGACAGGACCCAAAGAATGAGTTCAATACCCGGTTAAGGCAGTGGAGAACTTGGAGAGTTGCCATGGAACGTGGAACTAGAACAGTCTACCCCAGTGAGTGAAATAAAGGGTTCAGTTCGACATTTCTAAGACCTGAGCTTACAACGGTCGAAACGTTGTAATCAATATGGCGACAAAGATGAGGACAATAGTCCGAATAATGTAAATAGTGTACATACTACCTCATCTCCGAAATATAGACAGATACTGAATGGCCGAAACGTTGTAATAAATATGGCAACAATAATGAGGCCAATAGTCCGGATAATCTAAATAGTGTACATAATACCTCATCTCAGAAATATAGACAGATACTGAAGGGCCGAAATGTTGTAATAAATATGGCGACAAAGATGTGGCCAATTGTCCGCATAATGTAAATAGTGTACATAATACCTCATCTCAGAAATATAGACAGTCATTCTCTTCATTAAAAAAATCTTTCAAAAATGAAATATATTTTTCTGAAACTTTATTTGAGTAATATTAGCTGATTTAAAGTATAATTAATTTGATTTGAAACAAATATTATTTACTTTGTTTGAAATATCGCTGAAGTACATTTTCTTTCAACTCGGAGGTAGCTGCTTATTTAAGGTGTTGACAGGTTGACTGACTGACAGAGGGAAGATTATCTATTTTTTTCTACGGTGGACATATCTGTAAATATTATTAAAGAATATAACATGAGCGCCTTTGTATATAATTTTTAACAACCAGTAATCTTTAAAATTAAGGAAAATATTCTCCGTAATCTACTGTATTATTGAATTTTAGGTTTTAAATGAATTATATTTATCGCACTTATTTTCTGATAATGTCGTCTATGGACATCCGTATTTACAAGAATCGGCCCGTTTATACAGATACAAAAAAATTCAAAATTCTTTTTCAAATTTTTTAAAATATTCAAATTTCAGAGATATTTTTTTTTAAGGTAATTTATATGAATCATGGCGGGAGTGCCACTAGCACGCAAGGGGAAACAGGGTAACAAGAGCAAAGAGGCGCATTTGAGGAAAGGACACAGAGAAGGACGGAGAAGAGGGTGTCAGATATCGATTGGCATTAGACTTGAATATTTGATGATTATAGTCATCGGGGAAGCAAGTAATGAGAAGGGAGTTCCACGGTCGGGAAGTGCGGGAGATGAAGCTGTTTGAGAAGAAGAGACGGTTTCATAACCGTTTTGACAGTGAAAGGGTGGGACCGAAATGCCAGCCTGGTAGCACGTTTAAATTCATGAAGTCCGAGAACTAGCGAGAGTAGCTCGCCGGAACTGTTGCCGTGAAAATATTTGTAGAAGAGACAGAGGGAGGCCACAGTACTATTGTAGACTAGATGGTAGGACCTATCATCTTGCATATTCGCCTCTGGATTTTGTCAAGGACCTCGAGACGTACAGCGGGAGCACCAGACCATATATTCAAAGTTTGAAAGATTTATATATAATAATAATAATAATAATAATAATAATAAAAAGAAGAAGAAGAAGAAGAAGAAGAAGAAGAAGAAGAAGAAGAAGAAGAAGAAGAAGAAGATATACGGGATTTTTATTTTATATTTAAATTAAACGTGGATTAATGGTATATGTAAATATATATATTAAAATATACGAACTTAAAAGCGTATGAAAAATTAATTTTATTTGATGTTGAGATTATTATTTGATATTAAACATTACTAAGGGAGATTACTGCTTTTTTATCTTTGTTAAAAAAATAATAAATAAACGGACCTAGACATTTAATATATATATATATATATATATATATATATATATATATATAGTTAAATTCCCAGATCAATTCTGTGAACAGGACAGATTGGTATAAAATGACAATTGAAATAAAAAAATCCTAGATTTTGCCGACGCGTTTTGCCTTTGAAAAACTCGGAAGACGAAACGCGTCGGCAAAATCTATGATTTTTTTCAATTGTCATTTATATATATATATATATATATATATATATATATATATATATATATATATATATATATATATCATGGCTTTTTTGGACTTGAAGGTTTGATGAATTGGAGCCGTTTTATGACCCTAATGAAATAAATATAACGTCATGAAATAATAATAATAACATAAAAAAAATCTCGTGATACAGGCGTGGGATAATATGCATATTTATTAATATATATATATATATATATATATATATATATATATATATATATATATATATATATGGATGAGAATATTATTTGGTAATCCGTATGGATATTTCAAAGAGGATATAGATCCAGTGAAAGCTTAATGTAAGAACAGAGTAAATGATAATTATGAAAGCGGATACTTTAGAAACTCATGGTAATATTTTATTTCGGTAGTTCTAAATTATCTCTGAAGTTTTCCTTTCTTAATCTTTTGTTTTCTTCCTCTTTCCTTTCTTTTTCCTTTGCTCTCTTTCATTTGTTTCTTTCCTCTGTTCTCCTTTGAAGATACGCTCTCTACTTCACTTCTCACATCCGGTAGAAATAGGTCAACTTGTTTTCTCTCATCCACTACGGTTTCCTTTTCCCTATATCTCTCTTTTTCTCCCCCTTTCTTTCGTTTTCCCTTCTCCCATTTTGAATATATATTTTAAAATCTAATTTATGTTTAAATATTTTGTTTTCTGCCTGGTAAAATTTTAAATCCATTTATTTTTGAAACCGTTTCTGGTTTGATGAGTCGAAACCGAAGTATTGGTTTTGCGAAATAAAATATTACCATGGGTTTCTAAAGTTTTCCGCTTTATATATATATATATATATATATATATATATATATATATATATATATATATATATATATATAAATTCTAAAATAAATCCTAAAGAGCCAGGGAAAACCTACCTAGATTTTGCAACCTTTGCAATTTTTTTACAAGCTTTTCGGGAAGGAAAAGTCATGTCTACTTCTACAATGCTCTTGCTCACAATCGCCCTCTGTGGGGAAAATTGTGAAAATGGCTTACCTCGGAAACGCCCACGAATTTGTGCGTCGTGCAAACTCCGGCTGCTCAACGGCTAAAAGAACCAAAATGGCGATGCCCATGTTTTATGCCAGGAGGTCTCGGACAGTTAACGCGAAATCTCGTTTCGCCATTCGCATGTAAATTATGGTCGGTCCTCGGCTGTATAAATCAAGCGCGTTTTTTTTTTTCTGGGGACTTTGTTTTTTTTGCTCGTGAGAAGGTTGAACGTGTGAAACTATTTTGTCGTTTTTTACTTTGTTGGACTTTTACGACGGGTTGTCGTTTGAACTGCGATTTGGCTACAAGTGTTGCGGTCGAGAAATAAAAGAGATCTATTGCAGTTGCTACTATAAGTTGATAGTCTTTTCTTTACTACAACACCCTCATACGAGAAAAACCTAGACGTACTGGAACAACCACCCTATTCACTTGATCTTACTCCGTGTGACTTTTGTCTTGTAGCCAAACTCAAGAGGATCATCAAGAGGACCCATTTTGAAGGCATGGAGGCCATCAAGCAAACTGTAACGCCGGAGCTGAGGAGCATCGAAGAAGAATTCTTCGAGCAGTGCACAGAAAGATGGAAAAGTGCATTAGACTCAAGAGTGGATTACTTTGAAGGGGAAACCATGTAGTTTGTTGTTTGGAATTGAAATAAATTAATTGCGACGGCAGTCCTGTTAAAAGGCTGTTTTTTTACGTGAAGCATTGAGGCCGTAGACTCGGGCAAAAATTGCCCGTAAACCCCGTATACACGGGGTCGGGTAGCTGTCTACCTCGCCAGTCATAGCCTCGCCTGGGTTCTTCTCCGCCCAGAGGCAAAGAGTTCGAAAAGAGAGAAAGGGGGAAAAGACAGCCTCCTCCTCCTAAAAAACTAATCGTGATTATTACGTCAGCCGGTGCTGACATGAAAAATAAAAGATTTTAAACCAAAATTTCGAAAATGCTAGAAAGGATGAAAAAAATTTAATAAAATAATAAAAAAATACTTTGCTCTTTCCTCTTAATAATATAAGCATTTTGACGATAAAACATCTTTTTTGAAATTTGGGGCCTTTTTTCATCATGTAGGCACTTCCACTAATTCGGTATAAATTTTCGATACCTAAGGTTTAAAATGAATTTTTAAACAGGCAAAAGCATTCCTGAAATTTTCATTTTAGCTTTAATGGAAATCTAAATGATTAAATTTACTTTTTCCAGTAAGTAAAATGTTCTAGTGTATTTCAAATAGAAATTATATAGATAGGAATCTCAACTTTTTGCTCGATTTCAGAAAATTTTATTAAAAGCAACCATTTTATTAATTTAAAAAAAATTGTCAACAAAACAAATTTATTGTTTTTAAAAATTTTCCAAAAATAAAAAAATATATTTGTAACATTATTTGAGTAAAATTAGAAAATTTGAAGTTAATCTAATTTGAAATATACATTACTTAACGATAGCATAAAATTAATATATAAGCATTTCTTATCTACGGGTCTTGTTTTTCTTTGATCTTTATTGACTTATCGATAAGTTCTGATGACAGCTAGTATGGATGACCAGAATTGACATAAAGTTACGAAATCTAAGTGAACGTATTTTTCTTTATGTTTAACTACCTAGTAATTTTTTTTTACAAATTAATATATTTTCAGCAATTATGTAATATTTTGACTTTTAGTTAAGTCTGAAGATGCTTTATGAAAAAATCAAAAAAAATCTAAAGTACTATAAAATTTTCTTAAATTAATTTTAAAATTTAATAACAGCTGAAATTAAAATAAAGATAAGTAAGCAAGAAATTTTTTTTTATAATAATTAAAATATTGTTTACTCATTAAAAGTTAATAAACCTTAATTAACATTAGCTAAAAAAACATTTTTCTATTTTCTTCAATCCAAGCACTTGACCTTGTCGTAATAATGCCATGCTTAGGTTATCATAGATTAAAAAAAGGAAACAATTAAAGTAAAAGAAATTTAAAAAATATTTAAAAAATAGAATAGTAAAACGACGTTTATTAATCTTAATTACAGTATCACATACAGGACATAAAGTAATACGGAATTGTAAACGATTTTTAAACTGTTATACATTATTATAATTAAAATTGTAAAAAAATGAAAAAAATTCTTGTATAAATTCATTATTCATTGAAAATTTTTCAGTTCTTCAGACAATAGTGTCTTTAATTCAAAAAATTTACAAAAGCTATTAAAAGCTTTTCTAATTAAATAATTGTCATTGATTACATTTTTTACTTTACTATTCGGAGCAGATTTTCAGTTAGAAAAAAGTTTTGAAAAAAAAATTAGATGATTTATATTCTCCAAGAAGTCCTACTTTTAACTAATAAAAAATTCTGGAAATAAAAGGGAATTTCGAGAAATTTAATGAAATTAACCATGTGGGGGTTGACATATGTAAAAAAAAACAAAAAACAAAAAAAAAAACAACAAAATTACAAGATTTTCTAAAACAAAAATTTTTAAAAATAATTTCATTTCTTTGTGAATAAGTCCTGAAAGTTTCATAAAAATACAACAATTTTTTGATCTTTGCAAGAATTTCCAAATCAATGTGTTTTCACCGGAAAAAAGGCGCAAAAAAGTAACTGTAATTATTACGTCCACCGATGACGTAAAAAAAAAAGAAAAGTTTTGAACCAAAATTTCGAACGTGCTAGGCAGGATTAAAAAATTCCAAAAGAAAAAAAAAATCCCAAAATACTTTGGTCGTTCTTCTTAATAAAGACATCAACATTTTGACGATAAAACTTTTTTTTTTTTTTTTTTTTAAATAAGTGGCCTTTTTCATTATGCTATGCTGTTTTTCTGCGAAAAAGTGCAGATACTTAATATTATATATTATTTACTATTTGTCAAATTTAACGTTAACACGAAACAACTAATGCGAAAACTTGAAAAATTTAATAAAAAAAAAATTGATAGTCAGAACTTGTCTCCATTATTCAACCAAAGATTTTTAATATATATTCAAATAAAGCGTTAGGATATTAATTAACCTCTACCGCCTGATAAGACCTCAATGGTTGAAACCATAGTAGCATAAGTGGCTGATTATCCTATTTTTTAACATATAATTTCGACGTATGAGGATCTGACAACTTAACCAATTGACTCAGTTATGAAATTTTGTGCGATGATATAACGTGGCACTTAAGGCCCGCTAGTGATTTACAAAGGAGGCCGCATATGGAGCAAGAGTAAGGATTGTGGTATGAGATCCGTGTTAGATTGGCGGACCTTTTAGATCTTGCTCTCGCTTCATGAAGACGATTCAGACTAGCAGATTGAAAACTGGGTGCTTCATACTTTCGGCCTTGTGCCACATCTAAGCGACGCTCTTTGAAAATAACTAGGGCAGCTTGAGGCGCTGTAATGGTTAGCAAGCCTGTCTCGTTAGAACATTTACGACTGAACAGAGAGTTCGATCCTCGCTGGGTGCCCCATACTTTCGGCCTTATGCCACATCTAAGCTACACTTGGAAAATCACTAGTTTACGTCGACTTTTCAGCTAGCCTGATGAATATTTATGAGCGTTTCTTAAATTTAAAAATGTTGAAAAACATAACACGCTTATTTTTGTTTATAAATACTTGATGCAAAATAAAAATCCTTTTATTTTGCCCTGATAAAGTACCTCAGAGAACGAAACGCGTCGGTAAAGATAAGTTTTCCTTTTGTTTTTATTCATATACAATGATGTTTATGTGACTTTATATACCTATCTAAATCTTCCGTCTCTTTCTCTCACTCTTTATCTTTCCTTATATATAAATTTAAATACATGCTTCTAGAGGAGTTCGAAAACCGAGCAAACTGGAGAAACACCTTCTACTAGGGTTAACCCATCAGCATCTCCCTCGTGTGGACTTGTTTGCAAATCATGTGCAGGATTGTTGTCTCATAGGAAACATAGACATAAAAACTAAAAGACACTCATACGAAAAAACGATGGGAGAGTCCATCATATATATATATATATATATATATATATATATATATATATATATATATATATAAATAGAGAGAGAGAGAGAGAGAGAGAGAGAGAGAGAGAGAGGAGGAATTCGAACTCCATGTTGAAAACCGAGCAAAAGTGTAATCTGTATATATATATATATATATATATATATATATATATATATATGCACATTTCATTGAATACGACAGACAAAGGTGCTTTTTTATTTAGTTTTTTATACAATTTCTCATTAGATCTAATAATTTATCATCCTAAAAAAAAAAATTATATATATATATATATATATATATATATATATATATATATATATATATATATATAATTGAACTTGTTGAAAACCCAGCAAAGTCGAGAAACACATGCTAATGAGGTATAACTAACTTTGAAAAGAATCGTCTCGACCATCTGTGAGGATTAAGAAGCAACATTAAATCTTTGGCTAATACATCAGCCCATATGACAGTTAACCCTTCAGCATCTCCCTCGTGTCGATTTGTTTGCAAATCCCATGCAGGATTGTTGTCTCATACGAAACATAAACATAAAAATTGAACAGAAAGACACTTATACGTCGAAAACGGCGGGAGAATCCATCATTTTATATATATATATATATATATATATATGGAC